CGTCACATGCGTCAGGGGGAAAGTTTGTAGGTGAGGTATGAGGCGCGACAAAATTTAAGGAACTCAGAACTGGCGGGTGACGCATCTATCGCAATAAGTAGGTGCAGGACATCGATTTCCGGAATCAAGAAGCCCCTGAATCATGGCAATGATTTCGATGAAATCAAAAGATTGATCCCGCGAGACCCGCGTCCCCTGGTTCTCATTGTTCACAAGTTTTACTGCAACTTGAAAATAAAGATGTATTTTTCCAGGATGAGATTTTCGTGATAAATTTCAGTATTTAATCCCACGGAAGGAAAAGCCACGTAAATTTCGGAGAGCTCAAGATTTTCCTGCTGGGAATATTTACTTTTGAGGATCGGGGTTAAAAAAAATTCAGCTAGGGGTAACTCTCTATCATGATTTACCGCAAAACTCGTAGGAAAATTTAAGCCAGCATATTCTTCACGTTTGGTTGCTATATTCTGATTCGCGAAAAGCATCGGTTTGAGAGCATGATTGAGTGCAGTACTGTGCCAGAAATCGTTATTCTGTTTTACATGCATCAGTTTTTTTAAAAATGGAAATTTCGTGGGCTAGCCTGGAATGCAAAAGCTTTTCCATTTGCGACGTCAATACAAGGGACTTACGCGAACGCCGGTCGATATAATATATTTTCAATTTAAAAGAATGCTTTTGAGCCCTGCTCCCACGCGAAAATGAGGGGCTGTTCGTTTGTTCATTCCATTATTTTGCGAAATCAGTCATATTCAACGTTACCTTGTGCCAATAAAAGCTTTCACACGGGAGCTTTTAAGGCATTCGAATGACGACGTGATTGATATATAATTCTTATATTATGCGAAAGAACGGCTATGATGCTGATGAATGACAATGTTGGGAAATGCGAAGGTTACCACAAATTTGTGCGCGAATGAGATTTGTTAAGAGAGCTTTTTTAAGTGACTACTTCTTCGGGAGAATAACGTACTCTGATATTCGCTTATCGATTCGTTTCATAATTCATCGGAAGATCGCGGATGCTCACGAATTATTTTTTTAATCCACGAATTCCGTTAAATTTGACGATGACGTGTGCGATGTTTCATGTTTGTTTCCATGGAAATAAAGCCCTGTATTTGACATGAGCAGCCCGATTTTTCATTTCTGTTCACTCGGGTGCATTGTAAAAAACGGTACTACGAGAAGTAAATGCTATCGCGGTGAGCGACAAAGGCCGACAATTCTGAGGAATTGCTGTCACGCTCCCACGTGCCTTCGGATGCCGACAATCGAATTTCATTCCTCACGTTTCGCCCCGAAATGTTCCTGCCACGAACGCGACATCAAGCACCGCTCCCGGATCCGACGGCAGCCCCTTTTGAATTCCATTTTCACAAATTTTCATAATTCTGTGCCCATTATGTTCACAGCGGCTTTCCTCTTCTCTCAATCCGGTTCTTCTGAGATGAGTAAAAAAGAAGCACTTGTTCTCAAAAATCGATTAAATTAATGCGGATAATCGAAAGAATGTTTCCGAGCGATCCTTAATTCTCATACTTCCTATCACAATACCACGATGCATTTTCGTCAGTCCAATGTTGTGCCTTGGAACAAGCCTCCGATAAGTTATTTAGCACGCTAATTGCATTTTAGCCCTGATTTGAACATCCAGCTACTGGCGAACCTTTCTTGAATTTAATTTTTAAAAATATTCTTCGCAAATAATATCGCAGATTAAATCTACAGACTTCATAAGCATTGATGCAGGCGTGACAGGGAAAACTTCTGTAGCGCGGTATTCCAGGAGTCCGAAACCAATGAATACGCTGAAATGGCTGGATATACTGTATATGGTTCATGTTGGCTCGGATTCATACCCGTTTTGTACCCAAAACTGATGACTTACACGAAGAAGCCTGACCCGTGAATTGCTCAGGACCTTAGGTCATTTATACAGTTACAGACGACAGGGTCTACAGACAAAAATTACTCTTTTTCATCATGGCGAGCATACAGTAACCAACTAACCATGCGCGAACTTCACGTTCATGTTGCCGTCTATTGAGACAACAAAACGCCTGAAATGGTATTTATAAGTTGTAATACTGTGCTGCCGATTTTCGCAACGCCCAAAACCTTGTACGGAAATAAATTTTGGCACTAATTCAATGAAGCCATCAATTTTCGTAGCCGGAAACGAATTTTCCGAATCCCAAGACGTATCTAAAAATAGGGGGAATACGTTTCACTGGCTAAACCCATAGCTTACTATTCGTAGCTTCCATTATATGATCGAAGGTCACAAGGAACTGTACGTTACGAGTCTCATGAGAGCATTTTGACAAGCAGGAGTGATTGATCGGATTGAGTCGAGATCTTCCGATAATCCTCATCCGGGATCCCTGACGCGGATGACGATTTCAGTGACCAGCCGACATACGCAACTGCCAACAGAGTGACGCAAGCTCGCATTGCAATTCCGACTCAGTGATTCAGGTTCGCTGCGCCATAAATATGACCCACTCGGATTGATGACCCACCGAGTAAGGAAGATCTGATCCGTCAAATGAATCTAAGAATGAAGCGGGCGCAAGTGTCACGATAAAGCTATCACGGTATAACATTACAACTAAATCAGCATGTTTGAGCCGGATCTTCCCAACAGCCTGCTTTGACGGGATGAATAAACAGAAGGCTACATAGTAAAAATGCCATCAACCTATTTATATGCACATACGCAAAGGAATCTTCCANACGTGAAGCAAGTTGAGAACGTAAACGTAAATTGATCAGGCAATCGAAAAGCCATAAAATCAATCTTCTAAGTTTAAACGTAGCGATGAATATTTTATTCTGATCCGGAAGAGTTACAGCGAAAAATTATCATTCAATACAATTTAATTCCAGCAACAGCTGTAGAATTTTCATCATCAACCAGTTAATCAACCTGTGAAGTGTTCCCAAATAAAGTATGTGTTGGTTGCTAATGAAGAAAAATAAAATTTTAATACGCAAAAACCGTCGTAATTTTTCGCAAGCCAGTTTATAGACCAGTATATCTCCCAAAATGGATTCATACGACGCTGCTGAATTTGGGTTTTTTAATCCAAGAAGAAAATAGATCAAGATTGCTTACCAGATTCTAACTTTACGGTCAGATTTTTATTGCTGACCGAGACGAGGTTTGTGGGACTGCTTGCCAATAGCGCTGGAGAGAAGAGCGGACCATGTAGACCGGCTGACTCCGGACCAACAAGATGCATTAGTCCCAGGACTCCGAACTGAGCATCCGTAAGGTTTGCCAAAATGTTGAACGGAACCCTAGACCAGGCTTCATTCGACGGCGCGAATAGTGTAAATCCTGCAAGGAAATGCAGCCACATTTTCATAATTCTCATCACTCCAAACTGTACTATTCTTCAACTGCTTCAAGCATAAAAAATGAATAAATTACGTTTGAACACACAGTACCTGGATTCTTCAGCAAGTTCAGCATCATTCTATTTTCCGGTTGAAAAAATCCATCGGTAACCGGTGCAGCAGCATGAAGCGTAGTCTCAGAATCATATTTGGCAAGTGGATAAATTACGCGATCAATCACATGTATTATCCCATTCGTAGTCATATAATCTGGAGTCGCTATCTTAGCTCCGTTGACCGCATAGAGCTGTAAAAAACGAGATGAAATTATTTAATTTTCAAATGTTCATCTACGAAAGATGCCGGTTCTTTTTGCTGAGTCGAACAATAATACTTTGAAAATGTTTTCTCAACCTTGAAACATCAATTTGAACAACTTTTAAATTGGCTGTTGTCGAACAGGCACAGAGTCTGCAAAAGAAAGAACCGGCACTATTACAACACCGCATAATTAATCCTGGGAATTTTCCTTAGAAGGGGTATCGGGAAAAAGGAGAGGGTAAACTTGTCTTCTCGCAAGACACCAGTTGCACGTCTATTAAAAAAAGAGGTAAAATCCTTCCATGCAAGTCTCTCGACGCCCGCGGTGATTCGTCTCAATCATGTAAATGAACTCATGTAATGAAGAAAAGTTGAGGATGTTTCTGAATTGCGTCATAGATTAGATAACTAAAATTTCCGATTGTTCTGATATCAGTGCAATGTACTGCATCAGCACAACGCACAAGCTATTCAATCTAAAATAAGTCGACGTAAATGTAGATCAAAAAGTAACTCACAGGCTTTCCACCGATCGTGTAATTGCTCACAAAAACAGAAACCCCAGCTGCAAGCGTGGGTACGACTTTCTGAGCAACAGCTTGAGAGGAATTCAAGTTATGATCCACTGCATGACCACTCAGGA